AATGGGTGGAGGGAGGGGGATTGGAGGGATCACTTCTGAGGTTTATCTTACAGGGGTACAAGTGAATCTTTCTAAGAGTAGAATGTGAACTTTTTAAAACAATAACTGAGAAAATGACATGAAGGCTGTGCTGACCAGTTTGATGGAAGTATTTCGGATTGTGTGTGAAAACCGCACACTGTACCCTAGAAGTGCATTAATGTACATAGTTACCATTCAATAAAAAAAAAAAAAAATGGCTGGTGACAACTTCTTTGAGTGTTAAATGACATTAGGGCGGATTGAGGAGAGGCCATGTGCTATGAGGAGGTAAAAATGTATAAAATGCTCACAAACTTTCTGGCCTAAGGCAACAATAATGAGGCCCAGAACAACCCCAGCCTTTACACCAGTGATTTTCAACCTGTTTACTGTGGCACACTGCTGTGCAGTGAGAGGAGATTAGACTTGCCATGAAAAATTTTAAAGATCATTAATTAAATTATTTTTGAAAGAAGTTTAAAATAAGCGTATTCTTGTTTTTACTCTTTTTTGATGAACACAATTTAAGTGTGCCGCAGAAGTTTACCTATAGGTAAAGGTTTACTTGAACTATAGGTTCAAGTGTGTCATGAGATTTAAAAAAGGTTGAAAAACACTGCTCTACAATGCAAGAAGGACATGCCAGAGAGGACAAGTTCAAAAAAAGGGAAAACTGTGTAAACTCTGCTCCAAGTGTCTATGATGCCAAACTGACAAGTGCAGGTCAGACTATGAGCAGCCAGGGTAAAAATAAACGAGCTGAACTTTTTACGAAGCTCTGTTGCTGTGCAGGTGAGACCTGTTTCCAGCTTGAGTCTAACCAAGTTAATCGTCTGCTTAAACAACAACCCTTTTCAGAGAAAAATAACAATCCAGAGTCTCTATCGCATAACAGCCACGTGACTTAGGACACAACACAAAATTATTCAGTTTATGAAAACCAGAAAACTATGATCCATTCTCAAGGGAAAAGATAATCAATAAAGTTTAACTCCAAGTTGACCTAGAGCTTTGGAAGTATGAGATGAAGACTGTAAAGTGCTTTTGATAACTATACTCCATGTAATAAAGAAAAAATATACATATAATAAATGAAATGATAGAAACCCAACAGAGAGATAACATATATGTCTTTAAAAAAAAGAAACCAAATGAAAATGTTAGACATGAAAATATCTGAAATAAAAGATTCACAGAAAGGGCTTATAAGCAGAATAGAGAGTAAGAAGACCTCAAACTAAGGAAAGAGAATCTGCACCAGCAAACCTCTATTACAAGCAGTGAGAGAGTCATTTATTCAGTCTTCAGGGAAATGATTCTGAAGAGAAATAAGTGAATAGCATCAAAAATGGTAAACATCTGGTAAATTTACCATTACATTTCTTTAACACACATTTCAGCCACTTAGATATTTCCAAATGCAGAATGTCAGAACTGGGGAGACCATTAAGATTACATATTACAACGATGTCATTATACAGATGCACAGTCTGTGGCTCAGAAAAGGAGGAGTACCCTGATCAAGGCAATAAAACACCCTGATATCTCCAGTAAAGTCTGACATCTGTATTTTCCTTCTCATGCTGCTTTTAATCCCTCAGCACCAACTCCACACCCATTGCACACCCCACCCTGCATAAATAATCCTTCTCAGCCTTAACTTCCTTATAATTCAGTTCCATAATCTGTAAAATGGAATCATTAATGATACTTGCCTAAAGGGGTCCTCATGAGAATTTATAATTAAAATGTACAAAGTACTATGAACATTGCTTGGCATGTTGTATGTGCAATATGGTGCCCAGCCATGATAACGCCTGATGCCTGCATTTTCTAAAGCCTACTATGTCTCTCTGCTGATGAATTCCAAGCAGAAAAACAAAAGGTCATTATGGAATGATATTTGAAAGAAAAGAAGATCACAGACTTGATGTCTTAGCTATTCTTACCCCCCCAACTATTGTCCCATTTTAGTGTGAGAGCTCATAAGTGAAGGTCCGGATGTACAGAACAAGAGCCATTACTCATCCCTTGAAAATCATTGCCCGAGGCAGACAACCATCAGTGATAGAAATAAAGTAGGCTGTAAATGAACGCTTAGGATAAACACTGAAATAAAAAAGGTTTTCTCAGGTAAAGAAAATATCATTCGCCAATCACTGATCACAGAAGAAAAACACGTGACTCAGTGTTGCTGAACAAAATCCAATGCAATTGTCTATATTTCTGATTTTTCAAATGTGTTAATCACATCATAGTAAGAATGCTCCAGTATGAACTGACCTAGACAAGGAAGAATTGAAAACAAAGCAAGTCTTATCTCATGTCATGAACATTCTTAATAAAATATGTAATTGTAATTAAGCATAAAGGAAGTGATATAATGATATTCCCCATGAGACAAGTAAGCAGAACATGTAGGATAAAAAGGGATCAGTAAATACTTCAGGGAAGGGCTGGCATTTCATTTTACAACAGATTTCTTGGATACAGAAGACCAGAATATGTATGAGGTTATGCTATAATTCTGTTTAAAGTCAAAGAGTTGCTGCAGATGCTACCAGTCTGCTTACCATTTCTTCAACATAAGGGTAAAGCATGTCTCCAAAATACTCTGTAGCTTCAATTGGAAGCTGTGCTGGCAGATTGTCAATGGAACACATCAGAATCCCGGAGCCTTCGACACTAGGGGAAGCAATACGCCAGATTCAGTTATACAAAAAGTTATTTGCAAGCCCTACATTTTCCAGGTGCCTACTCCACTAAATTTGTCCCTTTTTCCTTTGTAATTTTGCACAAAAGTATATAACAAAATAAATGAGACTTTTCACACAAAACATTTTCCTTCTTTGGCAGCCCACCCTTCTTTGAAATATCATTTATGCACTTCAAGTGTTCAAATTTGCATGTGTTTTTTCCATTAGGTTTTTAAAATATTCGAGAATATCTCTCCAAATTTGCAGAGCTTCATTAGAAAATGTAAAGCATTGAGTATTTTAGAGTAGTGATAGCCAACTCACCTGTCATGAATAATATGCTGGTCTGCGTCATACATGCAGAAGGGACGCTCGATGGTCGTGCATTCAGTCATAAACTCTATAGATCCTCCTGTGTCAGCTGAAATGTCACATATTGCCACAAGCCTGAAAATAGCACCGACACTTAGATGAGAGGATGGAATTCTGAAGCCTCCAACGAGACGAAAAATGAATAAACATTAAAGGAACTTGGAACAATTTTCAATGTAGTTGCCAAACATCGTCCAGGCTCTGAGGCTCTCTTTCCTACAGCTCATTGTTGAGGTGACTGTGCTGTTCTGGGATACAGAGCATCTGCCCAATATGAGTTTTGGTCTCCACAAGAAGAAAAGAAATAAAAGAAAGAAAGAAAGAAACAGAAGTGGGAAATTCCTGGAGAAATCATTGACAACAGATTCATTAAAGTTAACTTACTTAGCCACCTCCAAATAATTCATAAAGGTAAAACTATGCTACCTCTACCTTGCTTAGGACTACATAATTTTATATGTGATTGCACAGAAATCTCCAGAATTATGAACGGAAGTCTCAGGCCAGCATTTGGAGGCCTTCCACAATTTTCCTGCTTACTCTCAAATACCACCTGCTGACAGGAACGTATAGTAGAGCTAGACTGTCCCATTCAGTGTCCTAAATTGTTCTCTGGTGGTTCCCTATCTGTCAAGCGCCAATCCTACCACCTGGGACTCTTGTTCTCGCTCTTTCCTTTTCAGGCTGTGTGAGCCAAGTGCTTCTGCTTTCTTCATCATGGCATCTCATTTCTCTTCCTTATCTTTCAGCATATTAAAGTGTCAGGCACCTGAGGTATTCCACAACTGTCAATTGATCAACTGATTGATCAACAGTGAAAATTATTTATTTTAGAAATTGTCTGAACACTTATATCAAGCAGTGGACAAGGTACTTGTAGCCAAAGTAGACAGGGACCCTTTGCTTAATAGGATTAAATTCTGGCAGGAAAGAAAAAAATAATAAACACAGAAGAATAAAATGATTGCAAATTTAGGAAAAAAAAAAAAACAGAGTAACAGACCAGAGATGGGAGTGAGGAAACACAGGATAACTTCTCTGAGGATATTTCTTTGGAGCTACATGTGGAGTTACAGAAGCCAAAAGAAGAGAGTTTCAAGAAGGAGGGAAGGGGAACACGCAAAATGCCACCAAGAAATCGAGGGATGTAAAGCAGACAGTTAGTCAATTAACAATCAAGTCCTGTGACCTGTGGGAAGGTTATATCCTCTGATACGCTAGTAACGAGTGCTGCTGCTGACAACTGCCATCACTGCTGAGGAAAAGTCCTTACTTGTGCGGTAACGTGGGGCAGCCTTCCACACCAGGAACCGAGAACTTTCCTGGGACCAGGAGACTCTGAGCATCTTGGCGAGTTAGCAGGCGAGGAGTGTTTTGTTCCCAGTAAATTCCATTAATTAAACAAGTTGTATAGGGTGCAATCTGTAAAGTCCAACCAAATAGAGATGGCCTGTTTCAATACAGCGAACTAAAAGAGCGCTTTCAGTAAGGTCCATGGGAGGTAAGACAATGTTGCTTTTAATTCAGGTCAGTGGGGCCATCTTTTGAGGCAAAAATGGCAAATACCCACCCTGATTTCAGTGTAGAATTACCCCATGATAGAGAAACATATGACCATAAATTATTAATGTTTTCATTCTATAATACATTGCATAGCAAAGAAACTGCAAAGGACAGAAAGCCAAGTGACCTAGAATGTTATTTCTAGCTTAGTCACCAGTTGGGTGTGATCTAAATTATGCTACCTCAACTTCTCTGGGCTCTATTTTCCTTACCTGCAAGATGGGGATAATACATACCCCATTCCTCAAAGGAATGCTGTGAAGATTAAATCAGATAACATTTGTAAGTACCATGGAGAAATGTTCTACATACATGCATACATGGTAACTAGGTCAGTATAAGTTTTAGGACGCATCCAATCACCAATACTTCTGTGATTGGGGGAAAAGAGAAGGGATGAACATTTACTAGATTCAAAATCCTTCCATTCAAAACTAGTTTCATCATTTTTCTCCTTCAAACATGTCAAGTTGAAGTTAAGAGTCCTTCTCCCTAACACATTCTACATGCTACAACAGCTAAACTTCATAGCAGAATCTAAAAATGCTGGGTTGTTCAAACATATTTAAAATTATTTAAAGTATTCCTTTTCACAATAAGTGCGTGCATTTTTGGTTTTGTTTATCTTTCTGTTTCTTGGTTTATTGTGGGGGAAGATCATTGCATGGCAAATCATTACAGAATATACAAATACATTGTACTTCTTTTAAGATAAGACCAGTGGGTCCCCATCACAAGAATTTGATTTCTAGGTAGCTTTCTCCTACTGTAGGGCTGATATGTGTTCAAATAGCCACATGTATTTCACCCTGGTCCCCTGTAATCAATGACATGTATTTAAACATGGCCAGCTCAGGTTAGAGTATGTGGCCATATAAGGGATAAACCTAGAGACCCTAACTTCACAGGCATCGTGCTTTCCCAACAGTGCTAACTAGTCCAGGATAAATATGGAAACTAGTAATCTGCAGAAAATGGTTTAGAGATACTGGGCACATGCAGACCTGAAGCAGAAACAGAGGCAGTGAAGCAAAGGGCACACCCACGGAAACACCAAACCCACGCCACACGGTCTGCTCTGAACAACAGAGCAGATGACACGTCGTAAAGCCAAACCGTGATACCCAGGAACTTACAACAGAAGTGAATGCCGATTTACACATTCACGACATCTCTCCTTGAAGACAACCTCACTACAGTGTGTCTTAAAGCTGAATGGGATACTCACGTCAGTGTTAAAGCGACTTATGTAGCGCTCAGGATATTTGTCATACTCTACAGGATCATAGACGCCATCTGTTTTCCTGACAAGATGATGATGGCGACTTAGCACCGTTCCATACACTTTCCTGAGGTCTTACAGAGGAGACAGAAATTAGCAAAAGTGGATGACAAATGATCAAGATTTAAGGTGATAAAACATTATAACAGAGACTGTTAAAAACAGGAAAAGCTACGGTCATTCTCTGCCTCTTACCTCCGGTTTGGGAAACTTCTTTTAATTCGTGGGGCTCCACATATTCACACGGTAGCTCATTAAAGATCTCTTGGGCTCCCTATTAATAATACATGAGTAAGAATCCCAAAATCATTAGGATAGAACCAACATCTTTGCAATCCTGCAAAGATTTTAACTCATTTCTCCCCAAATTATAAAGCCCCACATGCCCTGCCACTAACAAGAATTGCAATACAGCTGTACAGATGAGCTGCTTACAGGAAGTCTGCAAACCAGACTTTAGTCCAGTTTGAACAGTACACTTTAGAAAAGGCTTTAATTTTTTTTTTTTTTTTACTTAAGTTACTCAGAGTATCAACAAGAATGCTTAGAAATGAGGGCACAATAAAATACTCCTATTTACTTTTTGATCCACTACAGAAATTATTTCAAATGAGGAAACTATACTTTCTACAAGAGAAAAAAATCAGATGCTTACCCCACAATATAACAGTCATAGTGATGTCCTATTTCTAAATTATTTTATAGTTTACAAAGAATAGTTCTTTCTTGGGGAAAGAACTATTTTATAAATTTTCTACAAGAAATTACAAATGCATTCTCAAAACCACTCCACAAGGAAGAATTAAGAAGATGTTAGGAAGAATTAATCTTATTCTTATTGGCAAAATTCCAAGGGCTCTTAAAAAATGTACATCCTGAGGTCACTTCCAAACTTTTGGACAGCTAAGAGAAGGAGACAAAATGGATCACATCTGAACAGATCTTTATACTATTAACAGTGAATTCACTCAAAAAAAGAAAAGAAAGACAGAAAGAATAAAGTATTTCAAGTCTCTCAGCTTGGAATCAACTATAAGCAAAGAAAATGTGTCACATGTCTATGAGAAAAATACGCTGGTAAGGAAAATACCAAAAGCAGAATACACATTCATTTTATTTGAAATGTCTACAAAAATGCCCCAATCATTTGGGTTAGTTTCAGAACTTCAGGCTGCTTTAGGGAAGGATGACAGGTGAAGTTTACCTTAGATACATTACCAGTCCCTGTGAACACAAACGTTAAGGGCCCTATGGACTTTGGCATCAAACCCAGAGATATTTCATAACCAGCATCACGGACAGCTTGCACAGCCTGACTGCTGTTCCTGTAGTTATGAGCCATACCAATGTGCTGAAAACAAGCACATACAATGCACATCAGTCCACCAGCTGAGACATTTTTCTGTTCTCAAAGTGAGATATGTATACTCAAGAAAAATAAGCAAAATAAATATCTCTCACCATAAAAGGTGTGTGATGTCCCAAAGCAAGGAGCCTTAAACCCATTCCGTGTAAAATGTTGATCATCCCTATTGCAGAATCAGACCAATACAAACACCATTAGTTGGGGAGTGTAGACACAGAAGCTGCTCTCTCAGCCCATTCTCTAACC